CCCCAAAACCCCAAAACCCCAAAACCCCAATCAGCTCAAAAGTTTTTGATAAAATTTAACAAAATTAAAAAAATTATGGTAAATCTAGCAACGAAGAAAACCACGAAGGCAGTCGCCTTCGTGGTCATATTGCTTGCTATTTTCATAAATGTTGGAAATGCAGTTATTTTTAAGAAGAAAGTTAAGCTGAAAGGGAGGAATAAGTTCCATTTTTTGACGAAGTTTGCAATAGGCGAGGATAAGACAGGATATACGAGGATGAGAGCGAGGTTCATTAGACCATGGACGCAGGGGCTGGATACACCGGATACGATACCGATTGATTTTAATATTTATACGGATGATCAGTGGGATAAGGTTATTAATTTGGAGGATAATGATTGTTGGGGCAAAGCATCTTTGCAGACGATTGACCAGTGGCTTAATGTTCCTACTAATGGTGAATGGACCGAGTCAGTCCAGCATCATCTGAATGCTGATAGGCAGACTAAGCTATGGTTCTTCTCAGTCTGTGACTGAGAAGAACTGGCTCATACTATATTGCCTACCCTACCAAAAGTTGAGATAGAGTTGTTCATGATTAATGATGAATCTCATTTCTCTCAAGAGGATATGTACATCCTTCCATTTTATGTTGTGATGTTCATAGTTTTCTTAATATTTATGGGAAAATCTATCCTCGAATTTTACAACGACTTTAAGAGTGAGGAATCTGTTGAGAACCCTCTAATTCCTCTTATGATCAGCATTAATGCTGACATTATGCATCTTGGATTCATGTGCATTCATCTATTTTTCATTTATAGTGATGGATCCGGATTCTTTGTGTTCAGTGTGTTTGCGAGACTGTTTAAAATTATATCACAAGCTACAATGATGTGGCTACTGATTACTATTTCTTTTGGGTGGACAGTGACATACAAAAATATGGTAGAGACAGATATTTACATCCTGACTGCCATTTTTGTGATAATGATTCATCTTCTGATTGGAGCACTAACATACGTGGACGATGAAGAGCATCACAAATATCATGACTTTGGAGGAGTTCAAGGGGTTATCTTAATGATACTGAGACTAATTATTTTTGGAGTATTCGTGTATGGAATTAAGGACACTTCCAATAGCGCAGATAGAAAGCAGAAGTCCTTCTTATGGTCACTAACCATTACAGCCACTACTTACATTCTCTCATTCCCAACTCTGTGGATCATCTCAATGTTTATGGATAGATATGTAATTAATAGGTTTATCACTTTCGGAACTTACAGTGCACAGGCATTTGCAGCTTACTATATTCTACATCAATTGACAAAGAAAGGGTCAAGCTATTATAAAGCATCTCACAAGTCAAAAACTCTTTTGCCAGGAGCCAAATTCGATTAGAAGACTTATTCTAGAATTACCGTCAATCTTTATTAATTTTAGTGGGGTTTTGGGGTTTTGGGGTTTTGGGG